GTAACCATGGCAACACCGTTCATCGAAATCAAAAACCGATGCACTATTTTATGTATCTTAGTGTAGTCTACTTGTGTGCCAAGTAATATTGAAATCAGACCAAAACTGTAGAAGGAGTAGCGTTTTAAAGGAATTTCACAGAAAATTCTATTTTTAGTAACCATGGCAACACCGTTCATCGAAATCAAAAACCGATGCACTATTTTATGTATCTTAGTGTAGTCTACTTGTGTGCCAAGTAATATTGAAATCAGACCAAAACTGTAGAAGGACTAGCGTTTTAAAGGAATTTCACAGAAAATTCTATTTTTAGTAACCATAGAAATACCGTTCATCGAAATCAAAAACCGATGCACTATTTTATGTATCTTAGTGTTGTCTACTTATTTGTCAAGTAATATTGAAATCAGATCAAAACTATAGGAGCAGTAGCATTTTAAAGAAATTTCACAGAAAATTCTATTTTAAGTAACCATGGCAACACCGTTCATCAAAATCAAAAAATCGATAGCACTATTTTATGTATTTTAGTGTAGTCTACTTGTGTGCCAAGTAATATTGAAATCAGATCAAAACTGTAGAAGGAGTAGCGTTTTAAAGGAATTTCACAGAAAATTCTATTTTTAGTAGCCATGGCAACACCGTACATCGAAATCGAAAACCGATGCACCATTTTATGTATCTTAGTGTAGTCTACTTGTGTGCCAAGTAATATTGAAATCAGACCAAAACTGTAGAAGAACTAGCGTTTTAAAGAAATTTCGCAGAAAATTCTATTTATAGTAACCATGGCAACACCGTTCATCGAAATCAAAAACCGATGCACTATTTTATGTATCTTAGTGTAGTCTACTTGTGTGCCAAGTAATACTGAAATCAGACCAAAACTGTAGAAGGACTAGCGTTTTAAAGGAATTTCACAGAAAATTCTATTTTTAGTAACCACAGAAATACCGTTCATTGAATCAAAAACCGATGCACTATTTTATGTATCTTAGTGTTGTCTACTTATTTGCCAAGTAATATTGAAATCAGATCAAAACTGTAGGAGGAGTAGCATTTTAAAGAAATTTCACAGAAAATTCTATTTTTAGTAACCATGGCAACACCGTTCATCGAAATCAAAAACCGATGCACTATTTTATGTATCTTAGTGTTGTCTACTTATTTGCCAAGTAATATTGAAATCAGATCAAAACTGTAGGAACAGTAGCATTCTAAAGAAATTTCACAGAAAATTCTATTTTTAAAAACCATTGCAACACCGTTCATCGAAATGAAAAACCGATGAACTATTTTATGTATCTTAGTGTAGTCTACTTGTGTGCCAAGTTATATTAAAATCAGACCAAAACTGTAGGAGGAGTAGCGTTTTGAAAAATTGTTTACAGACGGACAGACAGACAGACGGACGGACGACGGACACCTTACTATCGCATAAGCTCTTCTGGTCTCTGACCAGTAGAGCTAAAAAACTACTGAAGCCTTAAAATTGAATGGATTTGCAGCATTTCCAAAGAGTACAACGAATTTTTGGGGGGGAAATTGAAAAAAAAAATTTGGGGTGGGGTGCGGGTTGGGTTTAAAACAAAGAGTTGCATGTTAGTTCCTTCAAAGATATGATTAAAAAACGGTACATATATATACATATATATATAGTATAAATAAAGGAGGCTTCCAACCCCCGGACCCCCCCCCCCCTTGGATCCGCCAATGAACCGTTTACAAACATTCACCCACTTTTTCAATATCTCTCCAAGGTTTGGGAAATTTAATAAATTCAACTCCTTGCAAGTATTTTTTGTGGGCATACTTTGAGTCACTATTGCAGATTTCATGACAACAGTGTTTTATGGGTACCCTTGTTATATTGCTTCCTTTTTTGCACAGGTTAGCCATAATATTACTAAATTTACACCACTAAGAAATATTCAAGACACTGTTTTGGTCATGTAAACATAGAAACATGTAGGTCAGTTTGTCCCATCTATATAGTTTGCAAGCTCTTCTGAAACATGTGATAAGGAATTCTAAAAAATTCTGAACCTGTGCTATAAACAGATGAGCTGCAGCTCTCTGCTGAGTCAGTGAGTGAACATTTAAAATATGTCAGTTTCAATTAAACGATGCAGATTTCTTCTATCTAGGTAATGTAGGGTATTAATGTGATATAGGACCCTCGCAAACTAATTTAAAAAAAAACCTCAGGCGAGGTGAAAGGTGTGAGATAATTATAGTTCTATGAGGAAAAAAAAATTATGTATTGTATGTGGAAAATATTGTGACCGAATTAGATTACACAGTAAAACACGGTTATAGCGAAGTCCTGGGACCCGTGAATTCAATTCGCTATATCCGTAATTCGTTATATCCGTATAACGAATTTGTATAACCATATATAGCGAATTCGCAATATGCATGTTTTCCTTCAAGTGTTACTATTAAATATGTAAGGGAAGCAAATATTACAAAACATACCTTCGATAACTAAGGTTTTATTATGAATTGAATTTTATATACAAATGCTGAGAGAAAATAAAGTCAGTTCAATTATTCAAATTTTGAAATCTTTCAAAGTTCGTTATAAAAGATGTAAAATCCATTATATTTAACCTCTACCTGACTCAAAATCAGTTCGCTATATCCGTAAATTCGTTATATCAGAGTTCGTTATAACCGTAAAATTTTACAAAGATTTGTAAAGAATTTTGCCGGGGACCCAGAAAAACTTCGTTATATCCGTGAATTCGCTATATCCGTGTTCGTACTAAACGTGTTTTACTGTAATTGCATCAAAAGCAGATGCAGAGAACTGCACTCGGTGATCTGTTTTGGATTCCCCGACAATTTAAATTGTATGTCAGCGAGAGTTTTTATCAGCCAATGAGCGTGTCAGCAGCGGACTCTAAACATTACTGATCACCTGTCTGTATACAGTGCATTTCCGATATCAGACAGGCAGGCCAGTTTATCAAAGTTTAGCCTGGTTCCCTGTCACTGCTTTGCTTCGTGTACTCCTGCCTTGGAAAGGATGAGCCGGGGGACCAGGCTAATTAAAGTTAACGTGATTTGCCGCTAGATGGCGATCGCAAATTCCCTTCCGCCGCAGATGAGCGATACCAATAGAGCGGAGGCATAAAGCCTCCGTCTAAAAAGTGTAATAGATGGGTGAATGCTTGTAAATGGGAAGGATTTTCAACAAAATTGGGTATTATTCGTAAAATCGCGTATAAAACTGGATATTAGGGTATCGTTGAATCCGCGATATCTAGTAAAGGCGGTGTAATCACTTAATAAAACTTACACAATGGGATGGCACATTTTGCGGAGTCAACTTTCACCTAGATGCAAATGTTTTCTTAAGGTATCACCTGTCAAGTAACAATTTGGAAGCCAGGATTAATGCGCACTGGACAACAAATACCTGTAAAGCTTAGTACATTTCATGATCTGCACCCAAACCGACATTTGTTCTGCTTAACATTTTTCATAATGTTGGAAGTATTTGCATCTTCCTCATGTTCATACCCACCACAACAAATTTGTTAATTAAAAGTTGAATGTGCACGTAGATCTATGCATTGATACATCTGAATGCTTGTACCTCAGCTCCTTTTAGTCCTGAAAAGTTAGATATACTAAAGTACTTTTTGGCTTTCTCACATTTCAGGAAGCTCTTGCCATGAGTCACTAAAGAATTCAAATTAACATAGTTTATTGCAATTAGAGTGGTTTGTCCTTTTGATGAAAAATAGGAATTTAGTAAATTACATAATTAAACATTAGACCATGATAACATAAATGAACAAGATGTGTTTGTGAAACACTGTTGCCCCCCGTGTGGTACTATAGCGAAAATTAAACTTTTCTTAAATGCAAATTTAATATATTGGTACCAAAAGTAGGGTATTCTTACTGGAAATACAATAATGAAATATGAAAGTAGGCTAAGGCTAAAGTTACTCCATAAGTAAGGAAGTCTCCAAGGTAAAGGTCAAAAGGTCATGATTGTTGGTATGCAATGAAAGGTCTTTCCACAAAGAATACATATGTGAAGTATGAAGCCCTAACCCTTCAAAAGTCATGACAAAGGATATTTTTTTTTAAGTCGGCCACACTCCAAGGTCAAATGTCTTGCTATCAAATGAAAGGTCTTGTCATAAGGATTAAATATGTAAAGTATGAAAGAACCAACCCTAAACCTTTAAAAGTTATGGTCAAGATTTGCTTTTTAAAAGTAGGTCAAACTCCAAGGTCAAAGGATCAAAGTTCTTGGTATCCAATGTAGGGTCTTCTCACAAGGATTACATATATGTGAAGTATGAAAGCACCATATATCCCTTACCATTCAAAAGTTATGGCCAAGGTTAGAATTTTTTCATAAGTATGGAAATCTCAAAGGTCAAGGTCAAAAGGTAAAGGTTGTAAGAATACATATGTGAAGTATAAATGTCCTGGTATCTACTGTTCAAAAGATATGGCCAACCACCCTTAGGCAAATGTTGGGATCAGAATATGAATAAAAAAATCCCAAAGAGACAATCATGTCCATTCCAAGCCTCCAAATATCAGTACTTTCAGTACTTTGATTTGTAATACTTCCCCGAAAAAGGAACTGTGCCCAACCTGTTAAACCAAAACCTGAACCAGTTTAGGTGCAACAAATTCGCCCTAAGGTTTATCAAACCTATCCCCCCCCCGGTTTCCAGGTTTGTCAACCCATTTAATCAACAATCTAATGAAATGATAGCCACTTACGATGTACTTTGAGGAATGGCAGGTTGAGGGGGCTGAGACTGCATTTTCTCCATTATTTGTTTTCTTTTCTCTTCTATCAATCGTTCTTGTTGGGTCATCTGCACCATCTTGTCCTTGTAAGTTGTGTTGCCTCCGCTCCATGATGGATCATTTGCAGGCCTTTTCTTTGACATCGTTCCTAAATGCCCTTTTCTTTCAAAATCTAGCAATGTGTAAAAATAGACAATGTACCTTCGTACATAGAAGAGTTCCTTGCAAAGAATCTGTAAGAAATCCATTTTCATTGGTTTTGCAGATTTCTTTAACCAATGAAATGATTTGTTGTAATTAAGCTTTGGTATCTGAGCAAAGATGGCTTCTACAGGTACCGTGCTTTTCCATCGAGGACGAGTAAGACATTATTAAATTCTTTCTTCAAATAAAATCCATTTAAATATACTAAATGGTATGTGGGTGGGCTATTGAGTATTGTAGTAAGAATAATCAAATGTGTCTCGGGACAAGGATCGAGAGATTGAGCACAGGGGCATCTTATCCACTTTTTTCTCTACTTCACATATAAAAATACACAAGGGAAGAATGGTAACGGGTTCGTTCGCCCGATCTACCTGTTCGCAAGAGTCCGTTCGCAGAGTCCGTTCGCCCGAATTATTTTTCGCCCAATATCTTGTTCGCCAAATACATATGATTTACAGTCAACTCGTACACAAACCGAGTCGTACACAAACCAACTCGTACACAAAAAGTCAACTCGTATACAAAAAAAGTCAACTCGTACACAACCCAAAAGTCAACTCGTACACAACTTTTAAATAGGTTTTACTAGGTTATTTAATGTTCTCCCCAGTTACAAAAAAAATTTTTTTTGAGAAGTCAACTGGTACACAAATGTGCTTCCTGAAGATTTTGACTATTTTATGCTTTTGCCAGACGATGTGCTATACATAGAATAATTAGTGATTCAGTATTTATACCATTCATTGAACAAAATTCATCTCTAATGTCAACACATAAATAAATCTTAAATACTTCTTAAATAAAGATATAAAATGCAAACAATACACACATTTAACACACATGTACGACTAATGTTGAAACAATACTGTACATAAAAGTGGTATATATCTCTTACTGAGGAGAGATCTTAATTAGTACTTAAAAGAATTTCTTGGCTTAATTAAACATTGTTGATAATTGTATCAGAATTTTGGAACATTAGTTAAATAAATAAATCAAGATTGTCATATATTGTCATATTCATTCTTGATTCTTCAATTAATTATAATATTAATTATAAAATGAATGTAATCTTAAAGAAATCTTTCATTATTAAAATACTTATAAATCAAAATACAAAAAAAAACTTACTTCAAATGGATTTCTAATTGTCAAGAAAATTGTTATACGTATATTTTAAAATTTTCTTTATACAATTTTCTATTTGTAGAATTCATATAATATTTTATAGCATCCTAATTTATTTTCTTAAAGATATGTATAGAGTAATGTAGTAATTTAGATAGTACATGCGCTGAAAATACATGGTAAGAATTTAATGGTATATTGTATTAAACATATTTGTCATAATCTTATCTAGACTACTACACTACTAATAAAAAAAGTTTTAAAAACTTACCGTCTTGCTCCAGGAAAGACAACTCTCACGAACCATGGTGAAGTATAAGGAATGAAGAAACTTGGAGACGTTTTCCATACATATAGTATCTCATCATTAAAGGATACCGAATTATGAGCATATCGTAATTAGCGTTTGTCGCAGATCCAAGAAACCACCGCGCGTGTGTTGGTTTAACGATACTTCTTTGATGTTCCCAATCAGGGAAGTTAAATTATTTCAATATTTTTGGAAAAAAATTACAAAAACTACATTTCTTTTTAAAATTTATTAAATATTTAATAATCATTCCTAAATAAAAGATTATTTGAATAAAATTAAATGTTGTGTACGAGTTGACTCCTCGATTTTGTATACGAGTTGACTTTTTGTGTACGAGTTGGTCTGTGTACGAGTCGGTTTGTGTACGAGTTGACTGGACACCATACATATATTTACTTGTATATATATATGAATTTAAAATTAATATATGAGTATATCATTTTTTCTAATTTAATTTTTGATTTGATTCTAATCTTTTAATTTTGAATGACTAAATGTTCATGATTGCACCATAGTTAATTAGATGAATAATATCAATGTTAAGAAGGGGGATACATCCGTGTTATTTTTACGAATTGCGCTAGGCCCTTTGTTTTGAAAACAATTAAAGGACAGAGACGTTAATTGATTAGGTGTGACCGCTGATGCTAAAACAGGTGTGACCATTTCATGATTTGTGACCATATGCATAACGTCTGACGGACACAATGAGGGTCTGTTTTATTTTGAATGCACAAAAAATTAGGAAAGAAATTCATTAGATTTTATTCTACATTAAATTATGGCAAATGGACCCTGTGCGAACAAGTTTTAGGGTGAGCGGACTCTGGGCGAACAAGAAATCAGGCGAACGGGAAATCGGGCGAATGAACATGGAACCGGGATGAATCGAAAGTAGCACACGATTTGTAAACAAAGTCAAAAAACAATTTACTTGAGAAAAGTTACACAAATCCTCAAATGCACCAGCGCAAATGATGTCCTAGTACTTATCCAGGCTAAAATATTCCAAATATATCCATTGAAAATAGCTTTTATCCAACTAAAACCCCAGCTATCTGCACACATTGAAACTCTTCGCCCAGAAAAGATAACTCCGCCTCGGATGACAACTTCCGTTTTAAAATTTAAAAGAAAAAAACATATAATTATTGCTTTGTTTTTATCAACATCTGTGCACATAAATTGTGCTAATTAATTGACATTAAAAGTATATCAACTTGCATACCATAAGTATTTTTCAGACATTTCGAATTTAGCACCATTTACTTAGCCTAGCTAAGTACCCGAGGCCTTCCAAGTGCACTCGAAAGGCCTCGGGTGCTAGCCCTTTGTCATCCGAGGCGGAGTTATCTTTTCTTGGGCGAAGAGTTTCACTATGTGCAGAAAGCTGGGGTTTTAGTTGGATAAAAGCTATTTTTAAATGGATATATTTGGAATATTTTAGCCTGGATAAGTACTAGGACAACATTTGCACTGGTGCATTTGAGGATTTGTGTAACTTTTCTCAAGTAAGTTGTTTTTTGACTTTGTTTACAAATCGTGTGCTGCTTTCGATTCTTCCCTTGTGTATTTTTATATGTGAAGTAGAGAACAGAGTGGATAAGATGCCCCTGTGGATTGAGGAGTTACCAGGTCCAGTACAACCTCTTGATTTGGCTATATAGCTTAAAATAGCTATATAGCTGTATTAAGTTATTCAGAATATCTTAATTTTACCATTCTTTTTCATTAATGTCAATAATGTGTAATTTTCTCAGCATGTACAAAAAGTCGCACCTTGGTGCAGTGATCATGATATCAACCTTGAACTCTTCTGAAAATAATGCATGTAAAAATCACTCATCAAATTACATCTCCTTGATAGACTTTATAGTAATATACACAAAGTTCTATAAGTATTGGGACTATTTAATACAATTGACACAGTTACTTCTGCAATGAAATTATAAAGGAGACCAATTATGGTCAACATGATAATTGATTGGTAAAAATTCAGTACAATGACACCGTGTATATCCCAACATGCCAGGTGTATACTATGTTGTGCACGGGTTGTGGGCTTCCGAAGCGAATGAAAGGGGGTCGAGGTACATTTTTTGTACATTTTCTCAACTTACAGATATTTTTCGCCAGAAAGCATATGCCTACAGAAGGAAGCATTATCTGAGGAGTATATGTAAACCTGTGAATCCACTGGACACTTTCTAGTTTTATCAAACACCTCAACACAATTCCGAGGATCAGTGCAAGATTAACGCAACCATTGTTATGATCAAATATCAGAACAATGCTTTGCTTTATCATCATTTTTATATTACTGTTAAATACATGTTATCTATATAAACGTTTGTACAAATCATCTGTAAATGAAAGAATTCGTATTTAAAGATATTGACAAAAAATTAGGGATGTCAACGAATAGTCGACTATTCGACTATCAGTCGAATGGACTGACGATTGAATAATGAAACGACATTTGAATATTAAATAAATGCAAGAAAAGGAGGTGATAAAGAACCTCTCATCTCAAAATTTGGAAAAGCGTCATTCGTCAAACCATTATGGTATATGTCCTCAGAAGAATTAGAGCTAAACACATTCACAGTTGATGAATAATTTTCCACATTATACATATGAAAAGTCCCGTAATTTCATACCACGATAATTATTTCTCAATTACTGAGTTTTCTTGTTATTGTGGTAAATTATGTAGCGTTATACTGGACTTTGAAAATAATTAATTGGACTTATACCAATTATAAATTTACTTATTACCTGTAAGAACGTTCAAATGTTAGGAACACACCAGGGGCCCGTTTCATCAAAGGTCGTACACCCAGTCGTAGCACTACATCAGCGTAAAGTCGGGACTAGCACGAAGATTTTTGTTTCATTAAAGAGTGTATCGTTACGCCCAACTATATAAATTTAGGCCAAAATTTTACATCTACTCATGGGTAGCGTGAGTTGGGGTGTAAAGTTTAAAATTAAGCAATTTTACTGATTTTAAAACAATTTAGCGAGTTCTAAAGAAAAAGTACGGTTCTTGGAAATCTGTAAAATACAAACGATGCATTATTTGATTAATGATACTATGAAGATTGGGGTGGGGGGGTTGTTACAACCACTTGGGGATGTAGTTGACGTACTTAATATCTAAATAAATTTCTTATGAGAAGAAAAGAATTTCTTATATTAGAGATTTCTTCGACCACCCTTTCTTTCGTTTTGACTTTTGAGAATGCATTAACACACACTTGATTGCTGTATTGTATGTATAAGGTATTGTAAATCGACTGTATACATATATAACTATATTAACACCCCCGCTTGAAAAGCGGGAGGGTATTTAGTAATCGGGATGTCCGTCCGTCTATTACGCTTTGGGGTACCCATCTCTTATCCGCAACTCCTCTCATGTATACCACTGAATGAAATTTGATGAGACTCTCACAGAATCTTTATTATACCCCCCGCAAACGAAGTTTGGGGGAGTATATAGGAATCACCTTGTATGTCTGTCTGTCCATCGATCTGTCTGTGCAAAGGTGTCCGGTCCATATCTTTCTTACATAATTCGTTTCCGGTCCATATCTTTCTTATGGATAAACTTGGTAGGGCTTAAAAAGAAAATATGTTTGCTTCCTGTAGGTCGGGAATTCACCCGGGGTAATTTGAATGGGTCGGTCGGGTTACAGGAAACAAACAT